CGGTGAGATCACCTCCTGTCTACAAGCGTGCGCGTTCACGGCTCTGGGCCCAGCTGTGGGGGAGGAGCCTAGGAAGGGGAGCTGAGAGCAGGGGGGAGGGACTACAAGGTTGTTTCTGTTCAAAATTTTTCTAAGTTTTTGGGTACCCAAGAAACTACATACAGCAGCTTTAAAGTGTAAATGGTCAGAACAGTAACTAAACACCAAAATTACCAAACAGTAGCTAAAAACCCAAGCAGCAAAACAGTAGTTAAAAGCTATAATTGCTAGAGCACTTTCTAAAAGCTAAAACAGTAGCTAAAACCATAAATGAGAAGAATCATTTTTTAAAAGCTAAAACAAGCAAACTAACAAAATGATCAAACAGTAGCTAAAAACCCAAGCAGCAAAACGGAAGCTAAAAGCTACAATTGCTAGAGCACTTTCTAAAAGCTAAAACAGTAGCTGAATGCTAAAATTAGTAAAACAGTAACTAAACGTTAAAACACAAGTGAGTTAAGTCGAAATGAATCTTAGAGTAGCAAAAAAACACACATCATAGCCTGAACAAGATGAATGGCTAAAATAGCTAAACAAAATGCTGAAGTTTTCTGAACAGAAACTACAAACAGGAAAACGATCAACCTTCACACACAAACAGAAATGTAAGGAGCACCGGTGGTTTCAGTTTAAATTGAACCGTGGGTTCTGGTGCTTGTAGTACAGCATGACGGCGGAGGAGAACGTGTTCGGCGTGGAGATTGGCCGAGTAAACGTGACGGACAGAGACGATCCTGGAACCAGGAACTGGGAGGCCAAATACTCCATCACCAACGAGCATCAGAGGAACTTCGCCATCAGGACGGATCCCGACACCAACCAGGGGGTTCTGACAGTGACACGGGTACAGAGTGGGAGGAGCAATGTGTGTTTGATGTCATTTCATTGTCATCGTCATCATGGTTTCTTTGTTTGCTTCTCTTCCAGCCTTTAGATTTTGAAAGTCAGAGAAAGCACACTCTGTTCCTGACGGTGGAAAATCTCAGTCCTCTGAGCAGCAAAGCTCCCAGCTTGTCCCTGAGCTCTGCCACGGTGGTGATCACCGTCGTGAACAAGAATGAAAGTCCAGTTTTCAAAGAGAACCCCATCCAGATCGAGGTGCTGGAGTCGGCTCCTCCTGGAACCCTCCTGAAAACCAACCTGGCCTCTGATCCTGATCACTCTGAGCTCAGGTAGGCCTTCGACACATGGAGAGGGTTTGTTTGTTTTCTCTCTTCTACGTACAAGCTGCTGGATGATTTTCTGTTCTTTGTGAGCCAGATATGAAATCAGTGGCGATCCTGAGGGGTGGCTGGAAATTAACAGAAACACAGGAGACATTGTGTCACAGAGAAGGTTCAACATGAGGTCTCCATATGTTAGAAACAGCATCTACACGGCTGCTGTCACCGCCACAGGTTAGTTCTTTCACTCATCCTCTTCCTGTGGCATTTCAAATAAATCTCCTTTTCTGATAATGTTAATTTTATCTACTTTTATGCTTTTCTTGTTTAGCTCACTGTTCTTACACTTTTACTAAATATTTTAAATTTAAATGTTAAATAATATGTGTTAATATTAAATCCTAAATCTAAATGTAAATATAAAAACTAAAAGTTCATCATCATCATCATCATGTTAAATGTTGCAGCTAAATGTTAAAGGATTAGTGTTTAGAAAGGCTTTTGTTGTGATGTCATCATCCTGCAACAAAGGCAACGATAACTACCTAAACAAGCTGCTAATGTTGCTAACGCTGCTAACTTTGTTGAAGATGACATTTAAAATACAAATTAAAAAATGTGTTGAATAAAAACAATATGGATGGATGGTAACTGTGGTCTGACAGTTTGAAGTGCAGCTTGGACCTGGGCCACAACTGCAGCGTTGATGTCTTGTAGGGAAATGTGAGCAGCGTTAGCAGCGTTAGCAGCGTTAGCAGCGCTAGCGGTTACTTTTGTTTCAAGATGATGATATCATAAAAAATGTCGCACACCAACACTTAAACTTCAACATTTAGCCACAACATTTACCTTTAACATTTAGATTTACACATTAAGATTTAGGATTTAATATTTAGACACAACATTTAAATTTATATTTAGTAAAAATTAGCTTAACATAAGAACAGTGAGCTACAGTAAATAACAAAATGTCAGTGATTTTTTTAAACTAGGATTTTACACTCAGAGTGTGAGCTAAGTAATGAAAATGTCTTAATGACATTTTTTTATTATTATTTTGTTTTACACATGGCACCCCATACTTAAAAACTTAAAAAAACATAAAATCTCAGCAGTAATTATTGTATGTTTTTCTCACGACATTAACAATCAAAGCTGTTTTTGTCTTCATGCCTCCAGATGCTGGTGGTTTATCCACCACAGCCGCAGTAAAGATCCTCCTGAAGGAAACCAACGACTTCCCCCCGCAGCTCTTCCCCCTGAGCGGCTTCGTGTGCAGCCGCCCCACCAGCCCCAACGCCGGCCTTTTCCTGACCGCCATTGACGACGACCATGCACCGCACGCTGCCCCCTTCACTTTCAAGTTCCAAGAGGATTTGACCTTCAACTGGACTCTTGCAAACGTCAACGGTAATAAAGAGTCCCAGGTAGGAGGTTTTTTTTTTTCCTGACAGAACCCAGTCCTCACGTCCCCATCTCCCTTCAGACACCCACGCTGTGCTCAGGCCCACTGTGGAGCTGGAGGCCGGAGAGTACGCCGTGACAGTGCTGGTGACGGACTCCGGTGACCCTCAGCTGGGTGCCTACGCTCAGGTCAACGTCACCGTGTGTCCGTGTGACTCCTTCGGAGACTGTAAGTCCAGGGCCGGGGCTCTCTTAGGCTCCAGTGTGGGAATCAGCTTCATCGCACTCTTCATCATCATCGCTTGTGTTGCCCTTCTAGTCGGTAAATACTCTTTGTTCTGTGTTCAACTAAAGCTGTGTGTTGGCAAGAATTCGGTGATATGATACATATCACGACACAGGGTATATGTTGTGATTAGAAGTGCAACAATACATGTATCTGTTTCAAACCGTTCAATACACACTATGTATGGAACAATACAYATTTTTAACATTTATTTTATCAGCTTGTCTTCTGAAGATGCTCTGTGTTGAAGGATCAGTGAATCTGTGCTCGGCTACTCCACCTAGGCTGCATTGTCGAGCACAGATCCACTGAGAAACTTGCTGTTTCAGCAACGTTTAATTTTAAAAACTGTAATTTTGAGGTTAAACAAATGTTCATAATTAATTTCAATAACTTACAAATTAAGAAGGGCATAGACGTTTCTCGTTTTTGTATAGAAAAACTATCGAACCGTGAGACTAAAGTATCGAATCAAATCATGAACTTTGTGTCATTGCACCCCTAATCACGATGTATTGCAAAATTATAAGTGAGGCGATATACTGTATTGGTATTTTTTCTCCAAAAGATTCTAATTTTTTGAAACTAAAGAGCACTTACATGCAGAAAATCTGATTAAATTCAGTTTATTTTTATGCCATCAGAAGAACACATTTCATCTCACATTCATTAAGTCCAATTAAAAACGATATATCAGGAAATTAGATATSGCGATATTTCAGTGTATCGATACTCGTGAATCATTAGCTGAGGTGATGGTGATGATGATGATGATGCTTGCAGTGTTCTTCCTCCTGGCCGTGGCTCTGACCTCCTGTGGAAGACGACACCACATAAAGAAAGGAACGGGTCTGCTCGTCGGGGAGTCCGAGGACGACATTCGGGACAACGTCCTCAACTACAACGAGCAGGGCGGGGGCGAGGAGGACGAGGTGAGGCTGACACTGTTCACTTCTGCTAACCCGTGTCCCAGCAGTCAGGTCACGAGTGTCCTCGCCTCGCCTTGCAGAACGCCTTCAACATCGACCTGCTGTGGAACCCCCARGATTCGCCCCGCAACCCGTGGTCCTTCTACCCGGGCTCCGGTGTTCCTCGAGGCAAGCAGCCCCTGAGGAAAGACGCCCCTCACAACCTGCCCTCCCCCACCTACCCCCGCAGACCTCCTGCAGACCCCTCGGACATCCAGGACTACATCAATGATGTGAGAGGCTCCTTTCAGAACGTTGTTCTCTTAAGCAAAAATTATCCTTTAAAGTTACGCAAAAGAAAGAAGACATTTTCCAAATTAAAGTGCCAGTGACGTGAAATTTTTTTTAAATTAATATAAAGGCATTTTTGGAAAGATAACATTATCAGCATATTGCAAAAATAATTTCCCGCTGCTGAGATGAACAATTGTTGAGATATTTGCATGTGAAGGAACAGGAAGTGACCTGCTTGGAACAAAGCACTGATAAAATAGCTAACAACACAGACTGTAGAGAAGAATCTGATGTTTCTTTAGATTATTTTGAGTATCAGAGAGAGATGAAGARGAGTCAGAGTTCAAATAATATTGTTTCAATCAACATAGATTACAGAGTTCCCCTTTGATGTCACTTCCTGTTGCACTTTGGCTGAGCCAAGTTCAAAATATGCCATTTATGTGACAAAATGGGTAAAATCACGTTTTATGCAATGTTTCTTATAAAAAATGTGTTTTCTTTAACTTTTTGTATTTGATGGATAGGCATGTCAGACACTTTAAACCTGCTTTTATCAGCCATGATGCAAACATGGATCTAGTGATTCCCAAAGRTGAGGTCATGACCTCCACTGAAATCTAATGAAGCTAAAAACTAACTCCTACAAGCAAGTTTTCATCAAAGCAGCTGTAAAATGACTAAAGTCATACATGGGAGGAGGGAAGTTGTATAATTTGAGTTTAATCTGTGTTGCCTTTATGCCCTTATTTTTCTTAACTTATTTTTATTACCAATGGTTGTGTTCAACTAAGGTTGTAAGTCTTTGATGTTATTTTGGGGGCTTGAAACGTATCCTGATTTAAGCACTGTAATTCGTTTGTGTGACAGTGCATTCTAAGAACACGTTGTGAACTGTTGCTCATCAGTTCTTAAAAGTTGTAAATTTCCCCTCCTCCAGGGTCTGGAGGTCGCTGACAACGACCCCAACGTGCCCCCGTACGACACGGCCCTGATCTACGACTACGAGGGCGACGGCTCGGTGGCGGGCAGCCTCAGCTCCATCGCTTCGGGCAGCTCGGATGAAGATCAGGACTACGATTACCTGAACGACTGGGGACCACGATTTCAGAAACTCGCCAACATGTACGACCCCCGTTAGAGCGGAGAGACCTGCGAGGCTCACCGAGGCGAGGGGGAGGGGCCAGAGGTCACGTCTGTGGTGCTTTTTGGACACGTTTGAATATGTTTACGATGAGAAAAACACAAACTCGTGTGCCGTGAAACGATTGAGCCTTTGGTTTTATCACAATTTACAAAGTGGATCAATGAAGTTTAGAGTTTAGCTCAGGAAAATTAAGAGACAAGAACCTTCGGTGAAAATTTTTGTGAAAATGAGTTGAAGTGCTTATCCATGTCTGATGTTATTTTTTATTGTTTTATTTTTTACCTAAGTGATTATTTTATAAGATAAATCAAAGAAAAATGATTTTGCTTTTGTTGTTTTTAACCACGATCCCTCCATTCCAGGATATTTACATCGTTTTTTGAAGCCGATTACAAAACATCCCATTTAATAACCTGTCATTATGAACCTGGAGGCAAAGGCTTTTTATTATTTTGTATGTTTACAAAATAAAACTTTATTTCTCGTTATTAAAAAGTTGCATTTACTCCTACGCTCACATTTACCATTAAAGGCATCACAACTTTAAAATATAACTATTTGGCAACACATTTTACTACATGTGATCCAGATTGTAGCTCTCAGATTACACAATTTATTCCACTAAGCAGAATAAAATCCACCATTTTCTCAACAATTTCACTAATATTTAGATGTTTTAATTATTAAAGGAGTATTTAATTATTTATTTTCTCCTGCCAGTCAGCAACAAGTTTAGTTTGAAACAGCAAACTAGTGTCGCTTCCTGCACAATAATGCAGATTTTACTGAGTTTGTTTAGATTATTATAATAAATATATGGTCATGTTCTGTTGCGTTTATTTGAAAATGTAAAATACTTTTTCTAGAGAGATACCACAGATTATGAATAAACTTCTGCATTTAAATTCATATTACAGTACATMACAGTAAATGCTAAAGTTTAAATATTTTCTGCTTCTTTATTAAATAGTTGCTTTCAGTGCCACCATGGAAGCTTTCCTGCTACAGTAATCAGTCAAAACTGCACATTTATCATTCATATGAACAAAACGCTTCAGAAAAACTAATGAATATCAACATTTACATAAAAATGCAGTTTTCAAAACTTTGATTTCACTGTCCGAAGCTAAATGGTGAACGRTCAGTCCCAGGTTTTTGGTAAAGTCAGGATAACTGAAGATTTACGTCGTCGTCCTCACTGAGTTTGCGAGGAGGTGGACGAGGCTCGTCCTCTCCCGTGTCGTGCTTGTCCCTCTCWGCCTCCACCCAGCTCTGTGGGAGGATCCTCTTCTTGGGGCCGTGAGGCGGCGGACCCAGCAGGGCCTCGATGTCCTCGTAGTTCACCACCTCTCGCTCTAACAGAGCGTTGGCCAACTGGAAGCACGGAAGTAAGTGTAAGGAATAAACAAAATGTTACAATAAAAAAAAAKCTAAATATTTAAAGATTTTCTGACCAGAGCGAGCTTGTCTCTGTTGTCCTGCAGCAGTTTCTCTGTTTGTCTGTAAGCTCGAGCTATCAGCATATTAGCCTCCTGAAAGATCAGAGAAGTCCAGTCAGACGAGAGGCTAAAACCTGAAACATTTAGAGAGACGAGAGCTCTGATCCCAGGACTCACGTGGTCCATCTGCTCCTGCAGACCCTGGCTGAAGGGACGGCGTCCGATGGCCCCTTGTTCCTCCGTCTCCGGGAAAGAGACCTGTCCGACGCTGTCGCACATGCCGTACTGCTTCACCATGGAGTACGCCACACGGGTCACTTTACGCAGGTCGTCCTGAGCTCCTGAAGAGTCAAACGGAAGAAGCTTCACATAAAACCCTTAACTCACAAAGGAAGGAAAGAAGCAGGTAGAAGATAATGGATGGACGAGTACCTGTGGTCACCTTGTTGAAGGTGATGGCCTCAGCAGCTCTTCCTCCCAAAGCCATACACATGCGCTGAAACAGCTGCTCCGTAGTGAACAGGAACTGCTCACGAGGTAAAATCTGAGCAAAACCCAGGGCTGCGTTTGTCCGTGGGGCAATGGACACCTGGTTAACACATCACATAAACAGTTTCTTTTATTTATTCTGAATATGTTGGARATGTGTTAAACTTCAGCTCAGAGATGTTATTTAGGCTCAAATCAGAAAGGTGAGCCCTGAGATCTGAAGGACTTTCATGAAATTTGCTGAAGCAGCAAAAATTGAGTTAAAGTTAAAGAAAGCAGAACACAAACAGGAGCAAAACACCAGCTAAAAGTCATAAATAGCAAAATGCTAGCTAAAATTCAAAATTAGCAAACAAAAATTAAAAGCTAAATATAGCAACACACTGGTGAGAAGCAGCAAAAGGAAATATAAAACTAAAAGTGACAATGGGCTAACTGAGCAGTATAAGTAGTAACAGGCTAGCTAAAAGTAGCAAAAAGCTTTCCTAAAAATACAAGTAGCAATAGGCTTGCTAAAAGTAGCAAAACAAAAGAATATCTGAAATTAGCAAAAGGATAGCTGAAAGTTGCAACAGGATAGTTAAAAGTAGCAGAAAGCTTTGCTAAAAATATAGGTAGCAATAGGATAGCTGAAAGTAGCAAAAGGATAGCTGAAATTAGTAAAAGGATAGCTGAAATTACAAAGGATAGCTGAAATTACAAAGGACAGCTGAAAGTACAAAGGATGGCTGAAAGTACCAAGGATAGCTGAACGTAGCAAAAGTATAGCTGAAATTAGCAGTAGGGTAGCTGAAAGTTGCAGAAGTGTAGCTGAAAGTAGCAATAGGATAATTGAAAGTAGCAAAAGGATAGCTGAAAGTGGCAAATGTGTAGCTGAAAGTAGCATCAGGATAGCTAAAAGTAGCTAAAATCTAACCTAAAACCACAAGTAACAATAGGCTAGTTAAAAGTAGCAAACAGCCATAAAAAAACTACAAGTAGCAATAGGCTTGCTAAAATGAGCTTAAGGATAGCTAAAAGTAGCAATAAGATGGCAAAAATATGCTGAAGGATGATGTTTATGGAGGAATTGAAGAGATGTACAGTATTTATGCAATAAAAATATTGAACTTAGATATTTTGGAAAACATAAAAATGACAAAAGTCTTGGCTCCCAGCTTCGGAATGAGCTTCAAATCTTCATATATAAATGGCTAAAATAGCTCAAAATATGCAAATTTAGATGATGCAAAAAACCAGACATGAAAACACGAAAGAGGAGACGGACAGCGGGAATGCTGAATGTCATTATTCCAACCGTAACGTGTTTCTCTAAAACCTGTGAAGAGGAGCGTCACCTTCATCACGGCCTCRGTGTGCTCCAGCAGCCATCCCACCAGCGCGTGTCCAGACTCGTGAAAAGCGACAACCCTCTGCTCCTCCTTAGACAGAACCTTACTTTTCTTCACGCTCCCTGAAGGAACACAAACACTTCGATCAGATCGAGTCCTGAGCGGCAAAATTCAACAGAGTTTGCATTCGTGTACCTGCTAGAACTCGTTCAACTGCGTACTCAAAGTTAACGGTYTCGATGGACTTGAAGCCCTCTCTGGCTGCGTGCAGAGCAGCCTCGTTACAAATGTTAGCYATGTCCGCACCTGCAGAGACAAGGTACCAATTTGTAATGCCTTTTTTTGGGATTATCCACATTTGTTATTCTAAACTTTCACAGCTTTAACGGAAAAACCGTCCGCCTCGTTGAGACGGTTGTTGGCACACCCACCAGTGAATCCTGGGGTGAGCTCAGCCAGGCGCTGTGAGTAGAAATGTGCAGGCTGTGTCAACTTTAGGTTCTTCAGATGATGCTCAAAGATCTCCTTCCTCTCCTGAGACACCAACAAAAACGTTAATAAAAACAAACCAGAGTTACTGAGTAGTTTTAAACTTTAAAATTATTTATTTCCTGGAAAAGTCAGCTCATAAGACTACCTGCAGTGTGGGCAGATCTATGAAGATGTGTCTGTCCAGCCGGCCCGGCCTCATCAGAGCATTGTCCAAGATGTCTGCTCTGTTAGTGGAGGCGAGAACAATAACGTGGTCTGTTGTTCCCATTCCTGCAGCAGAAGGGGAACTCTTCAGTCTCTCCGACAGATCTAAAGCAGCTCTGAATTGTGCCGTCYTTGCTCACCGTCCATCTCCACCAGGAGCTGGTTGAGCGTCTGCTCCTCTTCCGTATTCGAGAAGCCAGACATGTTGGTGGAGCGCTTCTTTCCCACGGCGTCGATCTCATCGATGTAAACGATGCAGGGGGCTCGAGAGCTAGCCTCTTTGAACAGACTGCGGACCCTCGCGGCACCGAGACCTGCACGTCAATCACAACCTGAGTCACTTCAGAAGTGGGCCGATGAAAAATAAAAACAAACAAAACATCTGGAGTGTAATTAATCAAAAACAAATTCAGCTTGGCAAAGGACGGCAGTGTTTTACAAAAGGGGATTAGGGCCACTGAAAAAAAAAACGTACTTATTTGTGTATTATATGTTCTCATGTATAAAACGAACCTGCCATTTTGATCTTAAATTGGACATTTTCACAAACGTTCCACCAGAGGGCGCCAACACACAGCTCAGAGACTTCACATGAGATTTGTGTCATCTTCTGATGGAAAAACAGAATACTGTACTTGATAAAACCTACTCATGAGCGCCACCTCTGGTGGGGAAACATTGTTTCGGGAACGCCTACTTTTGCACAACACCAGTACAAACGAGCGTGTGTTTGTTGTTGTTCCTAACCCTAACCTTAATTAATTCAGGTTTACACCATAAATCCCGGGTTAATCCCTTATCCTAGTTTTGTGCAATAGGCCTCCACTCACACAGTGACGTCATTAGTTTGTTGTCATTACTAAGCTGCAGCACTGCTGTTTTATTTAATTTTTTCCCCATCGTGTCAGCAGCTGGCCTGCCTGGGTCTGTTACTACCTCYCTCAGAGGCATGGAGTGTCAGAGGTAAGCTCGCTTCAACCACTTTGCATGACTGTCTCGTTTCCCGACTCAGGCATTTTGTGAATTTTGTGAAAATGCATTCGCAAAAAAATTATAATGCATYAATACGGTAATAAGAATTCTGAATTTTGACTCAGAATTCCAATTTATTTAAATTTTTTTCAGAATTCCAACTTTTTTCTCAGAATTCCAACTTTTTTCTCAGAATTCCAACTTTTTTCTCGGGATTCCGACTTTCATAATTTTGACTTTTTTCTCAGAATTC